CGGACGATGCCTTGCTCCATCATAGCGGAACATTGCCGCTCCAGCTCGTCCTTGTGGGACGCGGGGTAGCGATAGGGTCGGACCGCAACAGGCGTGCGTCCGGCTTGAGGAAGATGGCATGCTTTCATGCCCCCTTGGCGCGCGGCAGAGCCCACGTGGTCGGCTTGACTTCAACGGTCATTGTGGTGGTTCATTGTGGTGTTCACCGGAGCCCGGCTTGGTGCCTGAGGACGACGTGCGGTCGAGAGGTGAGGGAGGCGATGGCCTTGGCGTTGGCCTCGACCGTGGTCTGCAGCGTCTTGAGGGCGTTGGTGAGGGACTCGATGGTGGCCTTGAGGTCAGCGGCGTCACCCATGTCAGCGGCACACGACGCGACGGACGACGATGCTGATGATGGCGGCGCGGCGGCTGGAGATGAGGTGGATCGGGATGGCGAGGATCGCCGGGAACGTGATACCAGGTTGTCAAGGGCGTCGGAACCTAGGGTAGCTGGCCCTCGGCTACGGAGTTCGTAGCCTTGGTCCGTCGTCGCCGGCGAGGTTTTGCCCCTCAGCCGTCGGCTTGGTTTTGGAGAAGAGGAAGGAGATTAGATTGTAATATCTTGCTTGCCCTCAAACCAACGTGCGGTTACAAGTATATGGCCAGAGGCCTGAACCAACCGGAGTCTAACACTCCTTGAATTAAAGATCTGAAAAACAGAAATATCTAAGACTTCCAAACTCAGCCACCGAGCGTGGCCTGATCGCGCGCGTCGCCCAGCGCGTCCTCCGTGTGCGCGGCGCGTTCTGTTGGACATGCCAGCTTTAGGTACGGGGAATTGGGTTCGTAGTTTTGAATCTGTCTCTCCAAACAGACAACTGAGTTTTTGCAAAAAATTTGGTGCTGGTGTTAATCTCTTGATAGGTTTATTTATCTTTTCCGCTGTAAATAAATCTGTATACTCAGTCCTATATGTTTATTTGATATATGATAGCAACAGGAGGATTCACTTCAGCTGAATTCCCTCCAAAAGGAAGCAACATCTTGATTGATTTCATTATAGGTGTTTGGCTTACATGTATGATATAAAATTGTGTTCTGGCACTGCTGCTCTAAACTTTATTTCAGTTCTAACATTGAGTTGTGGTTCGTTCTGTGAGATAAGAGCATCGGCAGACTTAAAATATGACCCTGTTCCTTTTTGCAGATGAGATAAGACCTCTAGATGTCGGCCTAGATAATGAAGCACAAATCGCACGCAATTGGAGTAGTTCTATGCGTCCATCAAATGGGAGACGAGGACGTAATGGGGCTAACCAGTTCTCTGCTACAATCAAATATTTGCACATTCATGAATGTGAAAGTTTCTCTGTAAGATCTCTTATTCATTCATTATTCAATTTCTATGTTTATTTTGTGTGGTTTTCAGGAGGTCAGATAAAGTGGTTTCTCTGTGGTGCTCACTGCGTTCAGGATTTACTAAATTTATATATGATTTTGCAGATGGGTATATTTTGTATGCCACCTTCTTCAGTTATTCCACTTCATAATCATCCTGGAATGACTGTACTTAGCAAGCTTCTTTATGGAAGACTGCATGCTGAATCTTATGACTGGGTTGATGTACCTGATCATCCAATTGATCAATTCCAAAGTGAGTTCTGACATTTGAATTGGTTCATTCCTTCTGCATGCCATTGTTTATTATGGTATTATTTGTTTGTCAGAGAATATACTTGATGTAAATGCTTTTTTTTTTTTTTTGGGGGGGTTGGGAAAAGAACGAAAAGACATAAAATTACAGTTTGAAGTTGATTCGTCTGTTCCTAAATAGGGCGTACCCAGTGCAGAGAGCTCCCGCTCTGTTCGGGGTTTGGGGAAGGGTGTTAGTGGCAAGCCTTACCCTCGCCTGTGCAATGCGAGGAGACCGCGACTCCTAAATCCGAAGAAATTGAACTTCGCTATCTCTTGTTTCTTGCACATCTATTGTGTTCATTGATTCGTTTTGCTTATTGGATGACATTTGACATAGTGATCCAAGGATGTGTCTCAACAGATGTCAAGTGGAACAGTATTAGAAACTTATAGCTCGAAGTGCATAAATTTTATAGATGCAAAGCACTGTCCAGTACTACCTCCATCCCAAAAAGAATGCAATTCTAGGTGTATTCTCGGTTAAAGTGCCTAAAGTTCGACCAAATATATAGGTTACAATATTAATGTTTATAACTTCAAATAAGTATATTATGAAAATATGTTTTTTTTTTCACGAGCGTGTCCTTGCGACACATATTTCATTAAGAAGAAGCAGAATTTGACTAGTTACAACATCCCCATGTAATCTATAGATTACCGTGGAAGGATGGAAGCCAACACGACCCAAATAAATCTAACTTAAATTACATTACAAGAAAGTTGCAACCAATTGGGCAGGTGCCAACGAGACTAGCAAGCCTCCTCGAACATACACTCGAACCCCGCCACGTTGAACTTCATCGGCGCTCGAAGTGCGGCCCCCTTTTGCGGAGTCGAGCCGGCCCTAGAATGTCTGCTGTAACTCCTGTAAGTCTGCCACTACCCGGGAATCTGACGGCTGTGAGGCGGAGGGTTCCCACTTGGACACAAGCACCTTCTGCGCTTGAAAGGTGGCGTTAGGGGCCCGAGAGGCACACTTTGCCACCAGACGCGTGCTACGGCGGATGGTGACCGACGATGGAGAGCGACGGGTTCGACGTCGGCGTGGCGCCTTGAGGATGGTAGTCTTTAGCAGAGCGGAGATGCGCCTAGCAAACTCCCTGGCGAGGTGAAACTGGCAGATCGTCACCATCCACCCCTGGCGCCTCAGCATCCGTAAAGCTGAGCTGAACCATCCGTGGTGGCGAACGATTGTCCGCCAACGATGCCTGAGCCTCCAGAGAGGCCATAGTCGGAGTAGACGGGCACCCCAACGCTGGAGCAACCGCAGATCGACTCACGACAAGCGAGGATAGCAAGCTCATCAAGCATCGGGTCGACCCATACGGGAGGCCCAGCGCCCTCGCACAACACCACCGTGAGCAGATCAGACTCGTGGGAGTAGCGTGGGGCAGTAGAAGTAGCGACGTCTACCTCTGACCCCATCGCCGCGGCACGCCTGGGCCACTTGCAGTCCCTAGCGAGGTGACGCCGTGATAGCGCAAACAACGCCGTGTCAACCGACTGGTCGCTACTTGGTGTGAGTAGGAAAGGAAGTTGAAACATTTGCCGGGATCTTCTGGGCCTGCGGAAGCTGCTTCTCGGTCGTGGCGGCCGCAGGACGTGTCTCCTGCCGTAGGAGAATCTCACGCCACCCATCAGCGTTGGGGTGGAGACCCGTCCGCGACGTCCAAGGCGTTGGTAGACGGGGGTGCGGCCATCCACAGGCCGAGTAGGCAGGCCGTGCACCAGTTGGCGGCGCGGCCGGCTGCGTCTCCTCGGCCTTTGGCCACGTCCCAGTTGACCAGCGTTTGCATTGCCCCGGCCCCCAACCACTACTAGACGAGGCTAGGCGCGCGGCGGGGTCGCCGATCCCGGGTTCGCCTGACGAAGAACGGTGTCGAGGTAGGTAGTGGGTTGGTCGTTGTCGGACTCCTCGCAATCGTCGTCCGCCCACTGGCAACTTTTCGTGCGCCCTCTAGAGGAGGCACTTGGGTAGAACGGGGCCGCATCCGGCGAGAGCGAGGAGGGGCTGGCGGAGTCCGGCGGCGCCGCGGCCGCGCATGGCAGCGGGTTGCCAGCGGCCGGCCCCGGCGGTGGAGGTTCGAGGGGGCGCCGGCGGAGGAGGTGGTCGCGTTGGCTGAGATGGCCGCATGCAGCGCGACCGCGGCGGTGGTGGCGGCAACCTCGGGCCCCGACGGCGCAGGTGGCGTGTGCGCGGGTAGGTGCGGGGAGGTGGCGGAGGAGGCGGCGGGGCGTTGTTGGTGGGTGCGGGGGCGAGCCGACTTCTGGCCATGGACCCTAAGCCAGTGGAGGGCGCCCATGGGCGTCCAGGCTGGCGGCGAGATCCGGCCCTAACGCCGCCATGAGGCCACCAGATCCAGCGCCTCCCGCTTTCGGGTCGCTTGATCCAAAGGGCTGCTGGTCGGCGGGGACCGCAGCGGCCCCGTCGGTAAAGGATGTGGGGTTGCGCCATGGAGCTCCCTAAGTCCCGCGCGAGGGAGAGGTTGGGAGGGGGTGGTGGGCGTGGTGGAGGTGGGTGAGGGAGGCTCCGCAACGCTCGGCACCGCCCGAGGCGGCTGGGAGGGGGACGGCAGGGGCCTGGCCGGCGGCGGTTCCAGGAGGTACCCATCGGCGACGCTCGGCGTCACCTGAGCAGAGGCCGGTGGTGGCGACGATAGGGAGCAGGCGCAACGTGGTTGTCGCCGGCCGTGCTTGGGGGCGCCATCGGAGAGGCTCGACGCGCCCGACGCGGGCGGCGGCGGCGGCCGTGCCGCGGGCACGCGCGCACCTGCGTGCGGGAGGGAAGAGGAGGGGCGCTCGGATGCAGGTAGGTGGGGGGAGGGGGAGGTCGCCGGCGCTGGGCTGGCGGCCGGCGGTGGATCCAGTGGCTAGGGTTATGTGGTTGGGCTCCGTCGGGCCATCGTTTGCTTGGTCTCCATGAAAATATGTTTCGTGACAAATATCTATTTATTACGATAAGTGTTAGTAATTTTTTATATAAATTTGGTCAAACTTGACACTTAAACATGTCACTGTTCTAGAATTGCATTCTTTTAGGGACGGAGGGAGTACATACCTAAGAGCATCTCCAAGAGTTCCCAAAATAAACTCCCAATCCAAGGTTTTTGGAAAGATTGAAAAAAATACATCTCCAACAACTAATCCTACCTCCCAATCTTTTGGGACTCGGAAAAACCTGCTGATTGCGCGTAAAGGTACGTGCGCTCTCGCGACTTGGGAAAACACCTCGCGACAGTTTCTGCAGCAATTTTCTCCCTCGGGCTTGTTACCGCCGCCGCCGGCACCGAGCAGCATGCCTTCCGCCTCGAGCACGCACGCGCGTAATGCTGGCCGTCGACGAACACGCGTGGGAGCGCAGCGCCTGCGAACCCGGGCCCAAGGAGCTCCGCGATCTCAGCCTTGAAGATGATGATCATGGAGACATCGCGCTCGTCCACGCGCATGCCGTAGCTGCGCAGGATGCTGCGCACAGGCACATCGCAGCAGTCCACGAATGTCTTGCGCACGCCCAGCCTTGGCGAGATGCTGCTCCCAACGAGCTCCATGCACCATGTGCGATGCTGCTCCCGAGGCAATCTGGTCGGCGACGACGGTGGCGGCTGGCCGTTTGATGCAGTCGGCGTAGTCCCGGCACTCGGCGTAGCACTTGGACATGGCCGCCACCGGCCGCTGCTGGGTCGACAGCAGCATGACGACGAGCAGGCAGCAAGCGGCGAGTCTCTTGCCCTCCATTGTACTACCTGCTTCTTTTGCGTATTTCATAGTATCGTATCATATATTGCCGCAAAATTAATCAGAGTGGCGCCGGCCGGCTGCCGGTGACCGTCACATGTTGATGCGGAAGGAGGCGGCGCAGATGTGCGCGATCTCCCACGAAAGAAAAGACGCCGCAGTAGTTTTGTGTGGGACCAAGTTTTTGATGTTTTAGGAGTGATATTTTAGAAACGGTTGGAGAAACTCTTGTTTTTTCTCCCAATATTTTTTAGCGGCTTGGAAAACTCAGTGGTTTTGGGAAAAAAAATTTGGGAACTCTTGGAGATGCTCTAAATCATAAAAATAAGAAAAGGTTAATAGAAACTCAACCAACCTATGGAATTACGTGGTGTTGTAAAGAAGAATTAGGCATCCAAACTTGAGCCGAAGAGGACTCCGGTCCTACAGACCCACATCACTACCTACTGTCTTTGTAGGCCTAGGCTATATCATAGAATGTCTTTTCGGCATTTCATGTTTATAGTGCATAAGTATTACTTTGCATTTTACTTAGACTTATTGGGGCTTTGGTGTTCATGCCCTTGTTTTGAATTGAAATGCTGATTTTGCCCTTGTTTTTTAAACTTTGAACTGAAGGAAGTGCTTGCCCCTATTCTGTGAAGTCTTGTTAACGGTGTTAACTTTTGGTCGAAAAGACTAGTCTACCCATGTGATTTTATCCCTGTTTTGTTAGAGATCTTTGTGAAATTACCCGTATTTCAAGATCATAATTTTGACATATTTGGTAGGGATGTTAGCAACAAAATTAGACACAAATTTACGCATTTGTTTTATTATTATAAATTTGTGCAAAATTTATTTTCCAAGAAGGATTAATCGACTGAAAGAAACTTTATTTGCAGGAACTAGAGTAGTTTGCTTTTCAGAAAATGAAGCATCTCTAGCACAAGCAGCGGATCAGAGTGACGAATAAAAATTAGCTCTGAACCACCTGTAGGACCCCACCATCCAAATTGAGCTCGCCACCATACAAATCAACCTCACGAATATCCAAATCGAGCTTGTCACAGCATGAATTGTCTAGGCTGTCGTGCACCTCTGCCCACCCACAGGACCTGCTCTCAGCCACGCACCTAGGCCCATGCCGTGCCTGGATCCACTGGCCTGAGCACGACACCACGCCGTGCCCCTGCCTGAACTTTCTTGTTTCAATCCCTTTTCCTATTCTTTTATTTGTTTAATCTCCCAGCCACTAACGGCATCCCAAAGTAGGGGTAAACAGCAGATTCAAAATGAAAGCACGAGGGTAAACTCACAAAGTTAAAAAAGAGGGGTAAAGTCACCATTAGCCTGTACAGCGGGGGTAGGAACACCAAATTCCCAAACTTATTTAGCTGAATTCTCCTGTATTTTCAGTATTGGCCTTGGTTCCATGTGATCTGCGATCACTAAGAATACTCTGATTTGCTAAAAAAATCTGTATCAATAATCAATACCTAGTCTGGACTCTGCCAATGTGCAATCACTAAGAATGCTCTGATTTCCACACAAAAAAACTATGTATTTCATCAAAGCCTAGAATGGTGACTGTTCATTTGCACTCTACTTCCGCCACTTTTTACTCACACTTTCTTGTTAGTTGATACTGCCAACTTTGAGTTTGTCATTTGGTTAGCCTGGTCAATTGTATGAGCTGATTTAATGCTGAGTTTAGAGCTAAACAAGTAGTGGTACATTCCACATGGTAGTCATGTTTTGTTTTCTTCTGTTGTATGGAAAAGCTGTATTTTCTGTCATTTGTTTAGTTAGTGCTGGATGGGCTACAGGTATGGTTATTTATCACAAAGATTCTATTTATGTTTCTTTGACTGACCATGCACATGGTCTTTATAAATATATTATTCTGTACTACTTGTCCCATGATGTAATGGCTTACCTATTGGAATTTGCAGCAAGGCCAGCCAAGCTTGTTAAAGATTGTGAAATGACTGCTCCAGAGACAACTATTCTTTACCCTAATGCAGGTGGTAACATTCACACTTTCAGAGCCATCACACCTTGTGCTCTCTTTGATGTCCTTTCTCCACCATACTCCGCTGAGGATGGGCGGCACTGTTCATACTTCCGAAAGTCTCAAATGAATCAACCACCTGGTATGTGGAGATCTTGAAATTTAGTGTTTAAACTTACAGTTATGTTTCTGCCGAGCTTTCTAACTTTGGTTAAAAATTTCTGTCTACCAGTTGTTTTGCCTGCTGAGATAGATAGCTCACAAGTAATTTGGTTGGAGGAATTGGAGGACCATCAGCCCCCAGAAGGCTTTGTTGTTGCGAGAGGTCTGTATAAAGGCCCTGTTATTAGGAGATAATTTGCGTGGGGCATAGAATCCTCCAAACTGCAAATCAGCTGAAAGACGATGCGCTTGTAGTGTCTATTGCAAGCATCATCAGGTCATGTGCAGCCTACGGTTTACTTTGTACAGGTCAAAGTGATCTGTGATAATTTAACAGCAGTTTTACAGAACAAGAATGGATGTTTTTTGTTTGGCTGCCATTTTAATTGTGTCCCACTGCTGGAGTATCTCTGACCTAGTTATGGAGCTCTTATCAGATGAAGACCGTGGAGCACATAATTTTGAGCATAGTCTAGTATAGCTATTGTCATGGTGTACTAGGGAGATCAATGGACAGGTTTTCCATTTGGTGATTTCAGAAAGAATTTGGTGTGGGGGTACCATTTTGTCTGTGTGTAATAGCAGCATTACTATTTTTGGGCAATACTGTAAATTACAGGGGATGAACCGTAAACAAATCTGCGCACGTCAACTCCGTGTTTCATTTACGTCCGCTGGCAGCACTGTAGTTGAACATGTTGCTCGTTGCCCGTTATGCGCATGCCTTCTTTCCCCTTGGTAAAAAAAGTCACTTCGAGAAAAAGGGAAATTTGCCTAAAATTTGAAGGAGTTACTTCTGTGCTGACTTTAGCACCTGCGAGCTACTCCCCCTTACTAAAACGAATGCAATTCAAGAATAGTGTTCAATCAAACTATTTTAAATTTGACTAAATTTATAAAAATATATTAATATATCAATACTATGCATACTAAATAATATTATTTGATTTATCATGATATATCCTTTGTGATATACCTATTTGAGTTTTATAGTAGTCTTATAAACATGTGGTTCTGACGCAGAAGAGTTACTGAACCATCTCTTTCTCAGCTGCCCTTTTGTTGCGAATTGCTGGCACTTGGTGGGCATGTTTGTGGATCTCATTCTCCCTTCGCCTATCCAAGTCCTTGTGTCTTTCAAGGATCAGCTTCAAGTGCCTTTTTTTCATGGAGATTGTTATCCTTCTCCGTTGGAGCATTTGGGGTGTGTTCGGCTGATCGAAAAGCCGCTTGTGCTGATTTGTATGACTGGTTTTTTTAGAGAGAAAAATACTGTTCCGTGGCTTATAAGCCAGCAGCCGAACACCCCCCAAGGGTTGGTTTGTACGTAATAATGCAATATTCCAAGGATTTGCGTCTTCGGTGGATAGAGTCAAAGGTGTCTTCATGCATGAATTTGCCCTGATGCAACAACGGGCAAAAAAGAGATACTTCCCCTTGATTAACTCATGGTTGGAATCTTGTTTCAGTTGTTTGTAATCTTTCTTATTTTTTCCTTTCATTTTTCGGCCCCTAAACCTTTTGTACTACTTAGTTACTTTTTTCTTTTAATAATTTTTTCAAGTAGGGGTGCACCACCCCTCCTGTTCGCCAAACATGCATGAGCGGCCTCTGACAAACTTTGTGAAGCATCGATCGATATACTCTAGAAATAGACCCTCGGTGAACTATTTCTATTTTACATGTGAGTTGCACCAACTTGACAAGTTTAGCGACGTTTTAGGACAGAGCGTCTGTCTTTCAATATATTTATTTAGAAACTACAAACGCGTCAACTCCTCGCATAGAAGCTACATCCACGTCGCTTCAAATTCCCCGGCCGTCCGATCTCGCGTTTGACGGCCTAGATCGTTTGAAGCGGATTCTCGCTTCTGGCCGCTTCTCCCGATTTTGGTTAGCTTCTCTCGCTTCTCATCAGAATCCAAAGAATCAAATATATACAGCAACTTCCGCTTCTCCTTCTCACCCCCTCTCTCTCTTTCGCTCCGCTCTCTCTCTCTCTCTCTCTCCTCGTTCTCCCGACGCTGCGGGTGACGGCGACGGGGGCGAGCAGGCCGCCGGCGGCGGCCGCCGCCCTCCTCCTCCTCCTCCTCCTCCTCCTCCTCCGCTCTCCCTCCCCTTCCTCTCCTTCTCTCCCCTTCCCTCCCGAGGCGGCGGCGGGCGCGGCGAGGCGACGGCGCCCCCCCCGCTGGCGGCGCGCCGGCGTGGGTGGGGCCCGGTGGCCCCCTCCCTCTCCCCATCCACCACGCGGGCTCCTCGATGCCTCCTCCGCCGGGGAGCGCTCCTCTGGTCAGTGAAACCCTAGGTATTATGCCGGACGGGCCAAACCCTAAACTCCCCTCGCTCCTGATGTGGCTGTGTGGCACATCGGCTGCTCGGGAGGCCCCCGGCGCGGCGCCTCCTCCTCCACGCTCTACGGCGCCTTGACCGATGACTCCATGAATGGTACCTCATGTGTCTCCTCTTTCTTGAGTTAGATTTATGATTCTCTGTTGCTTAATTCATAATTGTTTCATCACCGGGTTCTTTGACTTCACTCTTGCCTCTTCTAGGGTTAGGATTTAGGCCCAGCTTTAGGTTTGAGGAATTCGTTATAGGGTGACCCAACTTTAGGTATGAGGAGTTCTAGTATGCTCCATGATTCCCGTGCCCTTTTTTCTATGGTCTTACATTCATGTTTCCTTCAAATTTGGGATCAAATTGATAGCCGAAAGTTTTAGTTTCACAATTTTTTAGTCACATGCACTTTTGCTATGTTGTCTTACATTCATGCTTCCTATGGTCTTCCATTCATGCTTTTTCAAATTTGGGATAAAATTGATAGCCTAGAGTTCTAATTTCTCATTTTTTTCAAATTTTGACTTCGGTATTATGTGCTTCTACATATAATGTTTTGTTCTTTTTCTGGTGCCAGTTAGAAGTCTAAATATCTTAGTCTAAATAGACTACACGTTGTGCCTTGTGCCTTTTTAATTCATCCCGGTGCTCATATTTTCTACTTCCGTTATTTATGTTGGTAGCTAAATGTCTAATGGATCAACTATTTCAAACCACTCTACCACTGCATCCTGGTTCTATGGTGCCTCTTAAGTCATGTACACACCTATATATATAATGTTTCCTTCATTTTATGGTGGCAGTTATACAAGTCTAAAATATCTTAGGCTAAAAGAAAAAATCACGCCTTGCCTTGTGCCTTTTTAGCTTATCCCGATGCTCATATATTCTGCTCTCTTTATTTATGTTGGTAGCTAAATGTCCAAGGTATGCTTTAGCCATTATTAAATATCTTATCCTTTTTTTTGCCTAATCTTCCTTTTTATTGTTGATAAGAAATTCAGCTACACATGGCAACAAGCAGAACACAAACAAACAGTTGCGCCATCGCTGGAGTCATTTCCCAATGTACCTACGCTCCTTTGCAACTCAGTAAGTTTTCCTCAACTGTGTTGCCTCCTGTTCTAAAGTTGGAGACTCTATTGCATGATGTGTTTTCACCAAGTGAATGGAATTTAGAATTTGGTAATTAGATCACATGCACATTTTCTATCATTACAAATTGAGTACCTGCTTCTTGAAGGCCAAGCATGCAGTTACTTTACCTTATATGAAATAAAGTGGTGGTTACCTCATAGGAGAATAAATCTCAACTTAAACATGTTAAGGTTTCAGTTTTTATATAAAATAATGTAGCCCTTAGAGCAGCCAATGAAATCCCAACATATCCTATAGACAAACTAGCCCCTAGAGCAGGCAACGAAAAGGTACATCTAACTGCAACATGTTTGGTGGCCATGAGTGATGTTACAGTTTATTCTATAATGTTAGAATCTACCTGTGATGTATGTGGTGGCAGTTTGGTTTCCTACATGCATAGTTTGCACATAGCTTCTTTCATTTATGCAGGCCTGAACATGTATGGTTGCTTTCATATGATATCTAGGCTGAGCACTGTTGTCACCACAATTTTACATGTTGAACTACTTTCTGAAGATAATGTTTTCTAATAGCATATACTTTCTTTGTTTGTTTAGGCTGTAGCGGTATCTCAATATGAACAACAGTCAATGAGATAGGTACATTAAAGAAGGAAAAGTCCTGCATCTGCCTATTCGGCTCATTTGCAGCTCAGGTACAAAAAAATGTGTTCCTGTACATCCTCAAATCAGTTTTATTGTGCTGAGGACGCTTCCCAAATTTTTTGATATAGTGCTTTGACAAGTTTCTCTTCTTTATTGGCCTTCAAAGGTTTAAATCCACATACATGCTTCATGTCCGATTGGTGTTACCAATTTGAGTGTCACTGCAATCACTTAACTGTAGTCCTACTGTTTGTTATACTGTACAGTGCCCTTACATGCTCTCAATTGTGGGTATTTGATTTCGTAGCACAAAAAAAATCAGAAGCAGCATGTACATATAATTTTCATGCTATTCATTACCTGGGTCACATACCACCGGCATGGAATGGTTGGTGTCTCACCTGCTGCTGAGGGCAGGTGTTGCGTGAGCACATGCGAGTAAGCTTTCTACCAACATATCAGTTTTCTATTTTTGATTTGGGAACCATAGCTTGCTGCCAGCTAACTATTGCCAAATTCCTGTTTACCTCAAAATTTCAGTGTTCAATTACTTGAGTTTGGAAGGGCGGGCCTGGTGCAAGCGGTAGAGTCTTACCGCCTGTGACCGGAAGGTCCCGGGTTCGAGTCACTATTGCCAGGTAAGGCTTGCCACCGACACCCTTCCCACTCACCTCAAAAGTTCTCAGTGTTCAATTACTTGAGTTTGACATTATAGAACTAGATTTCATCAGAAAGAGAGGACAATGATATAGTGAATTGCCTATTCCGTTGTGATTTGGGAACCATTGCTTGCCGCCAACTAGCTATTATGAAATTTTTATTCTCCCAGAAATTTAATACTAGATTAGTCAGATTTGTGAATACAGAAATGAATTTCTTTGGAAAAAAAAGGAAACTGATGTAGTGGATTGCCTC